ATTATTCAGAAGGACACTGAATTGGCTGTTTCTTGAGCAACACAGTGTGCAATCCCAGGGTGAGTCCAGCACACTGCAGAATTTCAAAGGGCAAAAAAAGTTGTAATTATTTGTATTTGGATCTCTTGAACAGCAAAAATAAAAATAATTTTAAAACAGAAGTGAAAAATAGCCTCTTGAGAAAAAAATGCTCTCAGACATCTGGGCAGAAGATACAAAGAGAAGAAGCGATAAAAATGTCATGCTTTCCAGTGCTGTAGCTGTGCAAGACATTTGTTAAATGGTCATGTATGGCAGAGCAAAATGCAATGTGCTGAGGAGAAAGAGGAGAAATAATAAAGCATAGGAACATGTCAATAACAATATGCTGTATTAAGTCATATGCTCTGCCACATGAATCCATCTTCTGCCACAGTCAGAGCTTTCATTTCACTCCAGGGTGGCCACACATATATTTTCATCAGCCATTTGGCTGGTCAAACTGACAAGCGCTCAACACCAGAAGCTGATAAGGGCAATGATAAATCATAGCGCTACTGGTACAAGTTTTGGGTTCATTTCTGAGAACATGTGCCAGTTTTAGTTTTTTCCTGCTATTCATGAGGCAATTTCAGGAAACAGGGTACTGTTTCTGCTCTTCAGTCTGCTTTCTTTACATGATGACTGAAGAGACTTGCATCATTGCAAATATAAAAATTGTTAAATGTGAAAATATTTTTTAGATTTTAAATTTTTTAATGGACCAAATGTGTAGTCATGCTTTCTGGAAACTGCTTTGCTTGAGCTGAATCCTGTAATATTTTCTATCCTTTTCTGCAGATCCCTCCTGGCCATCAAAAGGAGGCATACTTTATTGTGTTGGGAAAGTTCTGTTCAGTTAATTTTTTTGCTTTGTTTGTTTAGTTTTACTGTTTTTATGAGTGGCTGTGGTCCTGGTGTTCCTGGCACTGCACTCTCTAGGCTAAGCCACAGGGATGCTTGAAGCAATTTGTTTTAGAAAAGAAGGAATGATGCCGACTCCCGCTTTATTGGGGGACTGAGACCAGCTTATTCTCAAGTTCCCTCACATAGTATTTAGATAGAGTACAACACCTAGAATACTTGCTGCTGAAACAAACTTGTTTAAAACTCCAATTCTTTTTAGTAAATCTTTATGGAGTGATGTCTCTGTCACCTCAAACACTTAAAAATTGCACCTCAAATGTTAACATAGAAAGGAGACAGTCTAAATATAATAATTCCTGTGGAGGAACTTGAGATAGTCATGGCTAGCCAGAGTAATGCCTCTGGGCCATAACAATAATACATATTTAGTGCTAGCTGGTGGTGTGAAGGATGACACGGTGGAACAGTGGTTAGTGCTGTCATCTCACAACAAGACTGTTTTGGGTTCAAGTCCAAGCTGACCCAGTGCCTGCCTGAGTTCTTTTAGGGTACTCCAGCTTCCTCCCGCAGTCCAAAGACTTGCAGCTTAGGTTGCTTGGTGGCTCTAATTGCTTCATCTACTCAATATAGAATAGAATAGAAACTTTTATTGCAGACTCAAGGTCCAGACTCCGAACAACAAAAAACAACAAACAACAATAAAAAAAAAAGATAAAAAATAAAAACCACCACAAAGCAACAACCAGCCCACTACTATCCATTTAAGAGGCAAGTATACCAGTGTCTCCAGAGTACTGATGTATATCGCATGTCACTATATGCAGTGTTAGTCAACAATAAAACAATGTGGTTTTCCGAGCTATTCAAGCGACAGATAAATTTATACATCAGGTTTCTTAAAACAGCTGATAAAGTACTAACTCGTAGTGACACAAACAATTCACTGGCACTCACCCATCTAGGCCTTTTCAATAATAGTCTCAAGGCATCATTATAAGCCACAGTCAATTTCCGAAGACTGCCTTTTTTGTAATTAGACCATAGGTGGACAGTGTACAAAGAGCAACAATATGCTCCAAATAGAGTCAATTTTACCCCATCCGAGCATGAACCAAATTTCCGTGCCAATACATTTGCTTGCACATGCAACATACGGCACTGCCGATACATATCCCCATCATCGGTCAAACAATAATTTATAACATGACCCAGATACTTAACTTCATTGCATACGGTTAAAATATTACCAGATAGCTTAAAAAAAGGAAATACAAGGGACTTGTCCTCTTTTGAGCGGCATATCATAATAACACTTTTAACAGCATTATACTTAACATCATAAAGATATCCAAATACAGAGCACACATTCAAGAGCTGCCAAAGACCTGCGGAACTAGGACTAAATACCACAAGGTCATCTGCATACATTAAATGATTCACCACAACACCTCCAACCATGCAACCCATTCTGCACATACTTAACATTTTTGAGAGATCATTCATATAAAAGTTAAATAAAATCAGGGACAGCAAACTACCTTGCCTTACCTCGTTACTGGTCTGAAAAGGATCAGATATACAATTATCCCATTTGACAAGCATAGACTGGCAGGCATACCAATAAGACAAACATTTTACTATATATTTAGGCACACGGGCATCACACAATTTTTGAAATAATTTCCTATGATTCACCCGATCGAAAGCCTTAGAGGCATCTAAAAAACACATAAATACAGTGGAATTCTTACTTTTATATTTACTAACCAATTCCTTTAGTGCAAATATACAAGAAAAACAATGTAAATTTGGCTACAGTCTAAGATTTTTGACACATAATACCACAACCACAGCAATTCTACCTTCTCACAATGTAAGAGTTGCAAAGGAGAAGGAACTGACAAAGAGAGGAAGCAGGAAAAAGATGACTAGATAATTTGCAGTCGGTAAGTGGGATAGGATACAGGAAGTGAACATACATACACATGAACTGATTCACATACAAATACAGGAGCTTACATGAAAAGTGATTATCTAGAATCACCCAAAGAAGACAGAAGAGTTGCATGAGGGAGGAGGGAGTTAAGTGCGAAGGCATGAGGGAGAAAAGAGCAAATGTTTTAAAGGAAGAATAAAAGACTGAGGAGAACAGGGGAAGAGAGTGATAGAGGGGGTACATGTTGGTTCTTGATCTCATGAATGCTGAAGACATAACAGATTGGATTTTTTTGGCATGCATTAATAACCATTGCTAAGACAATTTAATGCAAATCTTTAATCACACCACCAATCTTCCAGAGTTATATTTATAAATACATAGTATTAATACATGACTGTTATAACTATATTGAGTACAGTAGGGGTAGAGATGGTTTAGCAGAAGGACTCAACATTGTGGTTGAATTTATTAGCAACTTTAGGTCAGTATACTACACAGCTTATTGTTTCACTCACATACGTTTGCATGAAGAAATTACACAAAAAGTAGAAAATGACAGGACATTTTTTTCTGCATGATTTTTTTTTACATTTATTGGTTTATTGATTAAAATATACAATATGTACAGTATTTTCTCTATGTACCTGGGCATTTTCTCTGTGTATAGCCATGGCCACCACAGGTACCTCTGTGTAGATGAATCCTGATAGATCCCCATTATCTCCAGTGTGACCCCTCGCAGCTCAGTTCATTAAAGCCAGCCACCCGAGTGGTCGGGAGTCAAGTCCAGATTTAATCACAACTTCCATCCTCTTGCCAATCACAATTAGAACCTGATAAGCCTCTCCAGGATGGCACCTGAGGGCCCTCACACACAGACAAAGGTTAATTTACAAGCAGCAAGGGCCTGGCTACAAGGCCAAAGGTCACCTGATTGAATACTTGGAGGATGTGCATGTAAGATGGGGGGCTTGGCAACAATTACCATGTTCATCAGTATTCATGCATTTCATTCATGGCTAATGGGTACATTACTTTTAAAGAGGTGTGCTGAAAGGATGTGACTTGTAATGGGCTTGTGGGTCATCTTTAGGTAGCTGAAGTTTAAAATAATGTCTTCACCGTTGTCTTTTAAAGTCATCTCACATTATTACAACAGTGCTCCCCTGTTGGCTTCTGAGAGGACTCACTGATGCTGTTCTGGGTTAAAGATTTTGAGTTTGTAAAACCTTAAAAACCCACTACCCTCCTGACACAATGAACCAATGTGGTTAAAGTCAGTCAAACTAAGGGAGTATTAAAAATAATGGGATTGTATCAGCCATGCGAGACTGAAACACAATCCTACTCTCAGAAAATTGAAAGTTGAATTCATGAGCAATAAGCACAACCTTTAAATACAGGGGTTTTGCTGTAATAGACTGGCTTGGCCTGGCATGAACAGTAGCTTAATGTGGCCAAGTCTAACTAAACAGCTTGTTGTTAATGTCTGCTAACTATTACTAACTTGTCAGGTAACTTCCTGGCACTGCTGTTACACTTCATTTTAACATTGTCACAGATAAACCTTCAGTAGTTAAAGTCAAACAAGCAGCTGATTCAAGAGTAACTTCCACTTTTGTTCACAAAAGCTGCTGTTCAGTCAAAGTTACATAGTTTCACTTTTAACACATAGAATGGGCTGTGTCAGAAATATCTGTTTTCAAAATTAGTAGAGCTGACTTGGCCGGCCTGTTATAAGGATTTGGTAAAAATACTAGACACACCTCTGCGCATGTGACTGAACACTAAATTAAAAAACAAGACAGATGAGCTTATATTGCCCTGTTTATGAGTTTCTCTCTCTGACCACCCTGTGGTGCAATGTTATTTCCAGGCCAGCTGGCAGCGGGGACATGTGAGATTGTGACACTGGACAGGGACAGCAGCCAACCACGGCGGACCATCGCCAGGCAGACAGCCCGCTGTGCCTGTAAGAAGGGTCAGATCGCCGGAACTACAAGAGCCAGACCTGCTTGTGTGGACGGTAAGATGAGGGGAAGGGGGCGGGAGATCCTGGCTTATAGCTCACTTTCTTTAAGTAGCCACATCAGTGAAAAATACTGATATATGAACTCATTTTTCCTTAGGCATGTCTGACTTTTTTCAAATTATGTCGGTGTTGCAGCACGTAAATTAAATGAAGTGTAAAATTAAGCTATAACGAAATGTTGAATCATGCCATCACTCTCAAAGAAGTTAGGGTTTGGCTGGTTTTAAGTAGGGCCTTAGGTGGATAAACCTACAGTGTTGAGAAAAGTGGATCACAGGGCTGTCTTTGTCATGTTCACAAAGCCTGCACCAAACCAATTTACAGTTGAATCATTTTATAAAAGTGGCTGCGGGAGTGTTTCTAAATCCCCCACCAACAGATGGGCCTATATTTCATGGAATAGTGGCACTATTTGTGAAATTGTGTCCATTTCAGTGGAGTTAGAATGATTTGTATTATGATTATTACTGTTAGGACTGAAGAATTAATTGAATAATGAGGAGTGGATTGAAGAAGTAGCAACTTTCTGCAATTATTTAGTTATTTATTAATTATTAAACTGATAAATAAATAATAAATGTATAAATAAATGTATGTGTTAATAATAATTAACAATTATTACAAATGATATATTAATAATTATTAATAATGTATGAATTATTTACAGTCATTTTCTAAGTATCTGTATCAATATCTTTTGGGTTTTAGGTGGACAAAACAAACTATTTGAAGTGTGCAAATAAAAAATAAATAAATAAAAATCTTTCATGGATATTTTTCACTATTTTGTAATGTTTAATAGACCAAATAAGGAGTTGATAGAGTGCCATATTAGTGAGTCCTAAATCTCAGAACTCAGTTAGCATTTTTGCACTTCCAGTTCCCTTGCCCTGAAGTCTATGGGTTTTTTGAATAGGCTTTTGGTTAGACACCTGAAATAAAGACTGTATCTGTTAACACAAGGCCAGTCAATTTTCATGTTTTATTCTGTGACATAAAATAGAGCAGTAAATACCCCGCTTGTGATTTTTAAAACTTTTACACCTTAAAAAACACTAACAAGTGGCTAAATGAGACTAAAGAGGCTGTCTGGGATATTAACCGTCATCACGCAGAATATGAAAACTCATCTATTCACTAGCCTGCCTTTACAGTTTCATTATTTTTAAACTTTTGCTCTTGTAAACTATTCTAATTGACACAGCCATGATCATTAGTTAGATCAGGTCATGCTGAGAGAAAAAGAATTTGTAGAAGAGGAAAGCGCTAGAAATCACATTACAAGTTTCAAGCCGTGGTGGTGATGTTGAAGTCATGGGACTATGGTGTAGAACATTAATAGCCTAACAGTCACTTTTTACTTCTGGCAATTGTATTTGGGCTTCAAAATTCATAAAATAGTGTTCACTTGTGAAGATTATGTTACTGAACCAAACGTGCAAGTGTTATAAACCTTTGTTAGCAGCTTATTTTTTGCAATAATCCAAAAGCCTATGGAAGGAACCAGGGTGATACAAATTTCCAGGTTGGCCTAGAATAATATGTCATCCCACTGGCACTCTGTTAACAAACAAAATAATTGGCAGCATAACAAAACTTTATTTGCAGCTCTAATTTTACAATTTCTGATCCATATTTTCTCTAAAGGAAAATGAAATGGTAATTTTTCTTGCACTTTTAAAACCAGAAGACACTATCATTTATATAATTTCTTCAGAATATTTTAAATAATTGTTTAACCTATTTCTTTGAACTTTTGTAAAATCTAAATGGTAAAAATCAGAGCCTGCACAATAGTTAGTAGTTAGCTATAAAAAACTTGAATATCTTTATTGATTTTTGGCCAAACATTTTTATTCAGGGCCATTTACTGATTAAATTCACTTGTCTGACAAAAGTGATTTTGTGTTATTTGGATACATCACATATTCTCCTATGAACCGATCTAAATACAGCTGTACTCCTGTCCTATTAAAATCTTGTGTTTCCAAAATGATGCAAGAACCGCCCTATTTCCATCTTTACAAAATTTCACCACAGTTGGAGGTACACACTTGTGGTGATACATTATTATAAAAGAGATATGGGTTGGTTTTATGTTATAATTTGTATATAACTGGAGAACAAGTGACACATTAGTTATTACTATGGCCTCCTCACATAAATTTAATGTTAAAGAAGCTTGACCTATTTGTTTCCGAGACAATATTCTAGTCACTGTTCTGCTTCCATGATAGCTCAGTGAATTTAAAGAAATATGTCTTCAGATGGGGCTGAATAATTGTACAACTTTAGGATTTCTTGCATCTTTTTCTAGCATCTTTATCACCATCCCTTTGCCTCTTAGGTTGCCTGTCAGTGATTCTCTCTCTCTCTCTCTCACTTGATGTGGCCTCCAGTCTGGGACGGGAGGAGAGGTTATGTCCACATGTGAAGGCAGAATAAGCAGCCCTGTTTGCTAAGAAAACCCTGCAGTGAACTGTACCTTTGGATGTCTTGTTTTGCCTGTGATTTGGCTGTGCCCTCACAGTTGTATATCTGATGAGAGGAGCTGCCTGTCCTCAGTGCACTGTTTGACTGGTTGTATCTGCTGATCATATGAGGGGAAGACTTTGCAGCATGTGTAAGTGGACAGAGAGTGTCCACTTGTGTGGGAGGCAGAGGTGTGCATGAAGCAGCAGGCTTGACTTTTTTCCAGATTCATTTTCTTCATTTAACCAGGCTGCTTTACACTGAGATTTGTGTGCTTTGTCTGTCCTGTAAAAAAGAATCTGATCTTGTAGGCGCGACTGCACGCGCAACAGCATTGTGGAGTCAGTTTGTTGTCCCTGCCTATGCCTCTTTTGCTGGTGAATAAATTGTATGAATAGCACATAAATCCACAGTATCCAGATATTATCAGGTGTATTTGTCACAACGTTGGCTCCACGGACCACTGTGACATTTTGTGCAGGCTGAGGAGAGCTTAGTCTTATCGGCTGGCTTTTTAAAGAACTGCAGAGGTGGATGACAGTTGTAGAGGTTTGCTGTACAACAACCTACTGGGCAAAACAAAAATCCATGGAAATCATATTCATATAGTTGATATGTCATGGGGCACATTATGACACAGCTGAATAAATATTACACTGGTGCTGTCATAGAACTTAAGGCCATGAAATGAAAGACACGTTTTTTTGTACATAAATGCATTCGATAACCTGACAGAATAATAGAGGGATAGCTGAAATACTAGTACTGTAGTTAGGTAATCATGCATATGCTACAAATATGAAGTAAGCACATTAAAGCATATTATTAAACTCAAGAAGAATCCTGTCAATAGGTACTTTGTACTTTGTGTTAGTAGATAAGTATTTACCTAACTACTGTACTGTACTTACAGTAAGTACAATTTAAAGTATTAAAGGGTTCTTTTTAGGGCTTTTTGGGAATTGAATTTCCCAATTCAATTAATTTTTTTATTCACAAAGTCCAGAATCAACTCACTTTATGTAGATTTGATTGGATTCTTGATGATTTTGTTTCATCAGATACTGTAAATATTAATGTTTCTTCTTTTATTTACATTTAATGGGTGTATTCATTATTGATGTAATATTTAGGTTTGGTATTGAAAATTCAGAATATGCACATAATGTACAGTATATGAATGTACACGGTACATGTATAATTTTTTGTAAGACTGTAAATCACCATCTCCTGCCATACTGTCACATTGCTTTCCTTCCAGTCCACACACACACCCTTACTGTTGCTCATATTACAGGAAATCTCAGAGTTTAATATTATTTCCATGCAAATCTGACATGCTTGCCTCCACAAATCTTTTTGTTTATTCAGCATCAGGCTGTACTCACTTTGAAACCAATGAAAAAGAAAGAAGGCTAACATTAAGGGTCTCAAATGCCACAAATAGGATTTCAATCAGTTTTAATCTACTTGTGTCCTTGGGGTATACTCTCTGTTGTAATATATTTTTTGCCATGGCTGACACAATCTGTGTCCTTCATGCTTCAGACACCGTTCACATTGGTCATCCCATGCATGCAGGATATACTGTAGCTCAATCAATGGTCATACCTGGCTTCAGTATGTGGTAATGAGAACAGAGTGAGTGCTGTAGTGCCATTGATTCTGAAGAGTCACTCCTTGTTGGTGTGCATTTTCCATTTTCCACTTGTCTTGCTTTGAGGAGGTGAAATTGGGAGATAAGCCATCAATATGACAAGCTTCGTGGGTGCGCTGTTTGTTGCACAAGTCTATAAAGACCAAAAACCTTCAAGAATCCCATCTCTGCAGCATGAAATGCTCCCTCTGACCCTTTCTCCTTTTTTATTTTTTTCTTGCTGCTTTAGCTCTTTGCTTTTTTCCTTTCCCACTCTCACGCAAACCCTCACAGTTAGTCTTTCTCTCTTTCTCTCTACTGTCTTCAATGGATTTGAGGCCCACATCATTGCATAAGTACACCCTCTCCCATCTGCAATTTCATGCTCTTGAGCCTTTTTAACTCTGTGCTTGATGACTTTTAAGAGAGCTGATATTGATTCTTATTAGGAGGGTGAGACCGAGGGAGACTAGCAGAGAGAAGCAGAGGGTTGCTTACTCATGCTAGCTGCAGGAAACAGTGAGAGAACTGTAGAAGGGGGCAAATCCAGAGACTTAGAGGAGCTTGTTGAGGGTCAACGTGGTTGTGACAGTGGCAGTGATAGCTCAGGGGGGTATGTGCATGGTTGTTTGTGACTGAAAAGAGAAAGATACGCTAACTACATTTACTACTCAGTGAATTTGTACTTTGAGCATTTCCATTTCTACTCTATACTTTTACTTTACTTTATTTTAAAGTGCCCTGGTATGCTTTTCCTTGTTTTCTGACTTATCTACAATGTTATAATGGTGAAATATCATCTTAGACATGACCTAAAGCTCATAAATTGAGGTATATGTATTGTATGTTCTAGTACTTCTGTGCAGAAGCAACTTGGTTTATACAA